TAATATTTGCTCCTTTTCCAATCCAGAATTCTAGCTGCCGGCATTCTCCCTCTTCATGTAAACCTTATAAAATAAGAGAGAAAATACATAAGTATTGTGATATAATGTATAATAACATCCCATAATGCAATAAATATTGATATAAAAGCATGATGCAAAATGGACGTATCATTGCCCCTACTGTCACTGGGAAAGGACACCGCAAGATTGAACCCAAAGCTAAGCACTTCTCCCATTGCAAGAAAAACCAATCTAGTTGGCCAAACCAAACCGATAGTTCAAAGAGAATTACAAAGATATCAAATCATGCATAAAAGAATTTAGAGAAGATTCAAATAATATTCACAGATAAGTTGATCATAAATCCACAATTCATCGGATCTCGGAAAACACACCGCAAAAAAGTATTACATTGAATAGATCTCCAAGAACATCGAGGAGAACATGGTATTGAAAATCAAAGAGAGAGAAGAAGCCATCTAGCTACTAGCTATGGATCCGTAGGTCTGTGGTAAACTACTCACGCTTCACCGGAAGGGCAATAGAGTTGATGTAGAAGCCCACCGTGATCGAATCCCCCTCTGGCAGGGTGCCGGAAAAGGTCCCTAGATGAGATCTCACAGGTATGGAAGGTTGCGGCGGTGGAAAAGTGTTTTCGTGGATGCCTCTGCTGGTTTGGGGATATATGGGAATATATAGGCGAAATAATTAGGTTAGGAGGATCACGAGGGGTCCCACAAGGGTGGGGGCTCACCCTCCGTCCTTGTGGTCGCCTCGTGGCTCCTCCAACTTCATCTCCAAGTCTCCTGGCAGTCTTCTGGTCCAAGAAAAATCATCGGGTAGGTTTCATTCCGTTTGGACTCTGTTTGGTATTCCTTTTCTACGGAACTCAAAAAGAAGGGGAAAACAGGAACTGGCACTGGGCTCTAGGTTAATAAGTTAGTCCTAAAAATAATATAAAATAGCATATTAATGCATATAAAACATCAAAACAGATAATATAATAACATGGAACAATCAAAAATTATAGATATGTTGGAGACGTATCAGGACCCTTTCCAAAGATTACTTCTAAATCCTTGACCATATCAAGTATGTGATCACCAATACGGAGGGCAGGCTTCTTCCGGTGATCTGCCTCACCTTTGAAATGCTTGCCTTTATTTCGACATTGATGGTTGGTTGGAAGAAATCGATGATGTCCTAGGTAGACATTCTTCCTACATTTGTCCAAATATATACTTATGGTATAATCTAAACAGTGTGTGCATGCGTGGTACCCCTTGTTTGTCTGTCCTGAAAGGTTACTAAGAGTAGGTCAATCATTGATGGTTACAAATAGCAACTCATGTAGGTCAGATTCCTCTTGTTTATGCTCATCCCACACACGTACACTTTATCCATTCCACAGTTGTAAAATTTATTCAACTAATGGCCTTAGGTACACATCAATATCGTTGTCGGGTTGCTTAGGGCCTTGGATGAGCACTGGCATCATAATAAACTTCCACTTCATGCACAACCAAGGAGGAAGGTTATAGATAAATAGAGTCACAGGCCAGGTGCTATGATTGCTGCTCTGCTCCCTAAAAGGATTAATGCCACCTGCGCTTAAACCAAACCATACGTTCCTTGCGTCACCTACAAAGTCCTGCCACCTTCTCTCGATTTTTCTCCACTGCGACCCATCTGCGGGTGCTCAAAACTTCCTGTCTTTCTTATGGTCTTCTTTGTGCCATCGCATCAACTTGGCATGCTCTTTGTTTCTGAACAGACATTTCAACCGTGGAATTATAGGAGCATACCACATCACCTTGGCAGGAACCATCTTCCTGGGGCGCTCGCCCTCAACATCACCAGGGTCATCTCGTATGTTCTTATATCGCAATGCACCGCATACCGGGCATGCATTCGAATCCTCGTACTCACTGCGGTAGAGGATGCAGTCATTAGGGCATGCATGTATCTTCTGCACCTCCAATCCTAGAGGGCATAGAACCTTCTTTGCTTCGTATGTACTGTCGAGCAATTCTTTATCCTTTGGAATCTTCTTCTTCATTATTTTTAGTAGCTTCCCAAATCCGTTGTCAGATACAACATTGTCTATCTTCCATTGCAGCAATTCCAGTGTGGTATCGAGCTTTGTGTTGTCATCTTCGCAATTTGGGTACAACCCTTTTCTGTGATCCTCTAACATGCGATCGAACTTCAAATTCTCCCTTTCACTTTGGCATTCCCTCTGTGCATCAACAATGACTCGGCAAAGATCATCATCGGGCACATCGTCTGGTTCCTCTTGATCTTCAGCTTCCCCTGTTGCAGTATCACCGTATTCAGGGGGATAGTTGTCATCATCCTCTTCTTCTTTGTTGTCATAACCCTTCTTTCTCCGTGCTTGGTCCAAACATTGTAGTATGGCATAAAACCCTTCTCAAACAGGTGGATCTGAAGGGTTTTCAAGTTAGAGTAATCCTATTCCCACAGACAGTACATGGACAATACATAAAACCATTCTGCTTGTTTGCCTCAGCCACTTCGAGAAATTTATGCAGGACCTCAATATATTCGGAGGTGCGTCGGTCACTCTACATCTATTGTCGGTTCATCTGGGTGCATTATATAGTTAAGTGTATAAAACCCATTACAGAACATCATGAATAGAGAAGCGACCAAATTAATACAAGTTCATCATCACATTAAAACCAAAGTACAGTAGTGATCAAATGTTATTACTGAAAAAATAAATACATAAAGTTCATGCATACTTCTCATAGAACAACATATAGCTCTTTGGGCATCTAATTAAAACATACATTGAAACTAACATACAACTATGAAAAACATTTAAATGCAACAACAAATGCGATCATAATCGCAACTAAGGTAACAATTGATCCAACGGCATAATGATATCAAGCCTCATTATGAATGACATATTTTTTAATCTTTCTAATCTTCAAGTGCATTGCATCCGTCTTGATCTTGTGATCATCGACGACATCCGCAACATGCAACTCCAATTCCATCTTCTTCTCCTTAATTCTTTTCAATTTTTCTTCAAGTAATTGTTTTCTTTTCCAACTAAATTTAACCTCTCGACAAGAGGGTCGGTTGGAATTTCCGGTTCACATACCTCCTAGATAAAAACATCTATGTCACGTTGGTCGGCATAATTGTCATAAACACTAAATGAAACAAATAATAATAAAAGATAATATACCACATTCGAATCATTTACAGGACGAGGGCCGACGGGGGCGGATACCAAAACCATGGCACTATATAATAACAAACAATAATAAAAGTAAGAAAATTATACAAGTATCTATCTAAATCATACAACTAAGAATGTTTTTCTTTTAAAAAGAAGATAAGAACAAGAGGCCCACCACGGTGGTGCCAACGACGAGATCGGCGCGGGCGATCGACGGCGGTGAGGACGGGGACGGGACGGGACGGACCACCAAACCTAGACAAATCTTGGGGAAAATGGAGTTTGAAGGTCGAGCTTGGAGAGGAGAAAGCTTAAGTGTGGCTCGGACATTTCATCGAACACCTCATATGCATGCATAGAAGGGGGAATAGAGCAGCACATGCACACACCTCTCACACGGCCAAAAAACAGAGAGAGTGGGCAAGAGTGAGGCCCTTTGGTCCCGGTTCGTGTCTGGAACCGGGACCAAAGGGGTCAGACGAACCGGGACCTATGGCCCCCGAGGCCCGGCCGGTGCCCTGGCCTCGCGAACCGGGATTGATGCATCCATTGGTCCCAGTTTGTAAGAGAACCGGCATTAATGTTCTTATCTGGCCTGGACCAAAGCCCTGTTTTCTACTAGTGAATCTCATGTATTGGCCATCTGAATTGATGCAAGGGGGGGAAAGCGAACATGTATTGGTCCTTGTCTTCCAGTACGCTTGTGGCTCTATATTCGCATTGTATTGGTAGTATATACATTTGTAATAAATAGCCAGTTGTCTTGAAAAAAAAATTATAACTAGTGCTGCTAGAGGCATGTGTGGCTAAAGCTAGACATGAACTTATGAGAACTCAAATAAAGCTAGACATGAACGCTAAGTTCGCCAGTCTATATGTATGTAGGATATATACTCCCCTGGTCACTTCTCCAGGAACGAACCTCCCAAATTCCAGAGCAATAGAACATCCTAGGTTTGAGTCATAAGAGGAAACGCATTCGATTGAAACGGTTATCATTGTGGTTAAAGGTAATCTTGTAGTAGCATGAAAGGGAGTATCTGGAATGGGAATGGGTGGTGTTGGGATAGGTGTCAAACCACACCATAGAGTATGTCCACGCAGGGTGGGCCGGCTAGGCGACAAGTTGCAGGAGCCATCTCCTTTAGAAGGACAGGCTGTGACTGCTGTGTATACGAAGTTTGAGCAGCCTTCACCGCTTGACGCGAGCATGCTTGAGGCTTCTCCATGGCCTTCGCCACGCCTTGTGGTTTCCGTTCTTATTTTCACGTGATTTGGTACACCCCCTTGAAAAATCCCTAGTCATGGTTTGCATTCTAAACGGAACCCCCAAGATGTTGCTGTTTGGCAGATTTGGACTTAATTAACCTTAAGAGACACCAGCATGCCTTGATATTGTTCTTATTTTTAGAAAATCTGAAGAGGACTTACCAGTTACCACCTGTGCTCAGTCACCCTTCAAAATTTGAAGAGTAATATTCATTGTTAACCAGGAGTATGTAGTTGGTACAATGTCACCATCAATTTTGCTGTCTCAACTCAGCTGGCTACATTGCGATGCTTGTGGTTAACCAACCCACTTCCGTTACTTTGTTCAATAGAAAGAAGTATCTGAAACAGAGAAGGATCAAAAGGAACAGTCCTTCCATATCAAGAAACAATATTAAATCTCACATGCTGCAAAACAGGTTGTTTAGACAATAAGTACATATTTCGAAACAACTCAGTCCAAGAGGACATAGCACAACAATGAAGTTGGTTATCAGATCACATAATAAAACTAGTGCTAGTGCCATGCGGACGAAACCACCAGGGGCTTATTCTTCCATCCGAGGTAGAGCACCCCGTCCCTCTCCGCGAGCTGGTAGTTTGCCGAGTAGCTCTGCAGCAGCGTCCTAATGGTGGCGTTCACCAGCGAGCTGAGCGGCCACGGCCTAAAGCCGACCATCATGAGGCGCCCCTTCCACTTGCCGAAGACCTCGTGCCGCTCCACCCTCTCCGCACCCTCGCAGGCGACGATGTTCACAATCTCCCTCGCCAGGCAGTGTTGCTCCATGTTGATCCTCTTGTCGTCCCTTGGTAGCGTCAGGTCGATGGACTCGAATATGGCAGTGTAGTAGTCAAGCGTCTCTGTGAACCTCTGCTTGAAGGGGACCGTGTTCGTGTTGAGCTCCTGCTCCACAAGGGTTACCACCTTGGGAGACAAGCTTTTCACCAGCCTTAGGATCCGGTCTCGGTGGTTTGCCGTGCTCACAGCCTCATCCGGAATGTGGTGCAGCTCCAGGGTGAAGTTCACTGCGAGAGCTTCCCCAGGGATGACCATGAGATGCCCCTCTTCCACTTCATCACCAGCGACAGCAACCGAATGGAATTCAAAGGGAACCTTGCACAGACCAGCGATGTGTGATAGCCTCCTCCCGACTAAATCGAGCCCACCGCCTCGCGCATAGGCTGATAGTGAATCATCAATTCCTGTGATCCTTACAGTTGGTGGTCCACCGGGCCTGGTCGCAAGAGCCTGAAGGAGAGGAATCCATTGAGCTCCTTGAGAGATACCGAAGTCGATTATATGGATCATATCTTCTCCCTTCACAGCCTCTGCAATTGCACCGTTTGCCGACATGTAGCCAAACTTGAAGTAAGGGCAGGCCTCATACAGGAAATGCATGTAGGACATGAGGTCAGAACTCCTTGGCTCTTTGCACTTCAGAGCTTTGTAGATCGAGTGGCCGGAGGAGGCAAGCCTGGCAACAAGTCCTTCCACAATGTAGGCTCCAAGTCTCTGATGTGGGTCACCAGATACTGAAACCATTTTCCTCAACTCTGGCACCATCATGTCTACCGCGGACATGTCCTTTGCTTCCACAGCTCTAGCACAAGATATCAGTAGTTTCTTCAAGTATCCATCTTGGCCTTCCACCAGGACCTCATCTTGTCCTTTATTCTCATGTGTAAGCTCGTCACCGTCAAAAGTATAATCCACAAATTGCACATTGATCATAGGATTGCTCGGATGATTGCTAATGGCAGTTGCTAAGGCAGACTCTGTATCAGCACATGCACCTCTGATTTTTGCACAGATCTCTTTAAGGCTTGGCAAGTGGTCGATGCTGATAGCCGTACTAGCACCATGCTGGTCCATGCGGGCTCTGGGGGCATTGAAACCTAGCTTGAGCTTCCGAAGATTGGGCATTGCATTCGCTTCAAATTTCAGGCAAGGTACACTGCACCTGAGATTGAAGTAGTTGAGGACTGAGAACCCCACCTTGTCAAAGACAATCCTTTCAACAGAAGCCGTCTGCAAATACAACGACAGAGCAGTGAGGGCAGGCAAACCTCTGACAGCATCAATACCATCCCTTGGAAGATCCCTTACTGCAATCTTCAAGATGCGGAGCTTGCCAAGTTCTCCGATCCACTTTGGAATACGGGTTAATACACAGCTGTGTAGCGACCACTCAAACACCTCAAGAACTGGAGGAGGTACTAAGCCCTCCCAGGAGACTATCACTTTTAAAGCATCGCAAACAAAAGCATTTTTATGACAGGGGCCATTAACCAGAGCTAGAGTTTTTAGGTTGGCATGTCCTGAGAGTTGAGAGCCCAGAGCTTCCATGCTTCTCTTCAGATGGTCTGAAGACGGTACAGAATAGGTCAGATGAAGATCTCGCAGGTTGTTCAGCTTGCCAATTAACCTCATGCTGCCAATCCAATCCAACAGATTTGTCATAACAAGCAGACTCAGGTGCAACAAGCTTGGGAGATGAATAATATCCCATGGAACGGCAGTAACTTCACTATCCAGAACTAGTGTTTCCAAACATTGTAGCCGTAGCATATGGTTTGGTAATTGTATGCAGATATCACATGCAATTTTTAAATATCTCAGTTGGAACAGATCTGAAATGCCAGTGAGGTTTATGGTGTTCCTATCACCATAACCGGATAATTGAAGGTTTAGCACGCGAAGAAGCTTAAACTCTGAAATAGAAGGCATACTCTCAAATAATCCAAAAATGGTAAGCGACCGAACTTGTGACCTTCTCATGTTTGCTGGTGTCTTCACACATTTTGCATCACCAAAGAGGAGAGATAGTCGTCGAACCTTTTGAGGAAGTGCCACATTCCTTCGACTAGAATCTATTACCATATTGAAATTTTCTTCTGAACACTTGTCTGCAATAAGATCATGTACCACATCATGAACAGTACAGGACAACACCTCATTGTTGTACTTGCTACATAGAGTTTGGATGAATCTTCTATTAATAAGTTCATTGAAATAGCTTGCTGCAACTTTCTCCATGTCTTGCCCTTCTGTTGTATGGATGAAACCTTCAGCGACCCATTGCTTCACCAAATCGTCCTTCCAGATTGTGTGGCCCTCTGGATACATATTCAGACACAGCAGGCATATCTTCAAATAGTGAGGAAGATTATTGTAGCTGAGGTTCAATGCTTGTCTTGTTCCTTCTGAAGGAGATATCCACAAACAGGAGCTTAACGAATCACACAGGTACGTCAAAAGATCCATTTTTATAACAGGCTGGCTTGATAATAGACTAGCTATGCTGATTGTTGGTAGCGGCAAACCACCACATAATTCAACAATTTTGTTTGTAACTTCTTTGAGTTCTTTAGGACAGTCACTTTCAGAGCCAAAAAGTATGCTAAAGAACAGCTTTCTTGAGTGATCATGATCCAGAGGCCTCATCTCAAAAATATGCTCCGAGTGATAACAACAACATGTTAATGCAACCTCTTCCATTTGTGTAGTTGTTATAACTCTGCTACCATGATTACCTTTTGGAAAAGCATCACTAATAATATCCCATGCTGATGCAGTCCATATATCATCAATAATAATTAAGTACCTAAATGTGAATAAAATTCATGCATGTCAAATACATTATGTTAGGATACTATCAAAATTGGTTAAAATGAAGCAGAATTAAAACAAATTCGAAAAAAGAGCATAATAAGCATGCAACTCACTAGTACAACTAGTATACACAGTGAAACGCATAAAGGATCATATCATCTCCAGAGTCCAGAATGCTCAGGGTGCACGTGAGAGCAAACTGCAGCTCAGGGTGTAACCGGGCCTATGGCATTCTGTGATGGATTGGTTTCACTAACACATGTGTAAGTTCCTGACACTAGAAGGTGTCGTTTTAGACACCGGCAAGGTCTCCAACAAACTTTATCCATCTTCTTTCTGTATATGCATGTTAGTCAAAAGATAATACTTATTTTATCAAAGCATTCTTTTGAAAAATCCAATAACTCTATTTTCACATTACAAATCGATATAATTGTCTGTATAAAAGCGGTCATAGTTAGAAAGGCATGGCTTCATTGTAGGAGGGTATGTGTCTATGAACGGAGGTAGAGGTAGTACCTTTTATCTTGTAGATGTTCCCTGATACTGTAAGCAAGTTCAAGTTCCTTGGAATATTCAGTGGGTTGCTGCCCCTGGACTTGCATGAGCATCTCGCGGAGAAGTCTCACCACATCAGGCCTTTTGGACACCCGGACAAAAGCTGTACAATCAAATTGCCCCCCAAATTTGTTGTACAACACTTGTGCAAGTGCAGTTTTACCAAGACATCCAGGTCCAAGAACGGATACCACCTTGAGCTGTTGATCCCCATCATTATCCAATGAGTCGATGAACTCGCTCACCCGATCATCAATTACCATGTCAGCAATTCCTCCGTACGCAGTCAGAAGCGTGCGATCGGCGGGTAAAAATCTACGCCTGAAGGTGCTGCAGCGGTGGAGCTCATACCTCTCATGCCGTTCAATCGCTTCTTGGATGTACATCCTGAAATCTGATATGAGTTCCATGATATGCTTGTACCACTTGAGCCTCTTGGGAAGACGAATGATGACAACACGAATTGCTTTGCAGACTGATCTGATCTTCCCACTATGTTCTGCTGGCACTTGAGCTATGTAGGCAATCTGTTTGTGCCACTTGAGTCCCTTGGGAAGTCTTCTTTTGGAGAAGAGCCTTTTGGGGATCTTAACATGGCGGCGGATTTTGCAGATGAACCTGGTAGTATTGATGCTGGCACGGGCAGGCTGCACACACATGTCCATGTTATCCTCGATGTCATAGGCCAGCTCTCGCGCCTCTTTCATCCAGCGCTTGGCCGTCAGGGGAAGGTCCTCTGCCTCTGCCATTTCAGCAAGGTACTCGCTTAAATCTTCAACATCTTCTTTGAGGAGGTGCATTCTGTCCTTAAACCGGCTCGGCAGCCTGCACCCCTGAGGAGCTAGCAGCATGCCAAGCTTCCCAAGAAGGGATCCCATGCCAAAGGGGGCCTCCATTGTAACTTGGCCACACCTTTGATAATTTGGGAAATCGACATTTCTGCATGGACTAATCAATCGGTGTGTCCAATCGCAGTGCCGACACTCCCATAAACCTTGGCAAAGAAATTTTGGCAAAATGTAGTCAGCGCCAACTATTTAGCAAAAATATCCTCCGAATTGCATCAGGCAAGAATGGAAGCATAGAAGCTGTCACCTTTGGTTGAATCGAAGAAGACACTTCCATGCTACCCAAGCACCTCCTCCTCTGTTGGGAAGGAAGTGGAAGAAAATCTAGAATCGTAGATGCTTCTGTTGGTCAACCCTTCTTCCAGATCCGCTAGATCCACAAGGGAAGTAACCTGCCCAGAATACTCCACGGCCAGAGAATAACTGTGCTCTGCCCCGCTTTCCTGCAGCGCCGACCTCCACTCTTCCCCTTTCTTCTTGAACGCCCACCCCACCTCCATCACTCAAAAATGTAGATCCCTCCTCCGCACCATTGTTTTACTCTCGCCCTCAAGGTTTCGAGAAGCATAGGGGAGCAAACCGCCAGGTAAGGGGGAGTAGCGGCCCTACAGTTGGCCCAACGGACCTGCAAACGTGGCCCAGGCGGGAGTGGATAGCAGATCAGACGGTCCCTGAACTGCCAGGCCACATAGGGCATCACGAAAAGTATAATTTTTACTAAATGACCCCTGGGCCCGAAAGTACCTTTCTGCACCCGAGCTCAAATGAGCTCGGGTGAACAGTAAAATCAAAACTAAATTGAAAAAAATTCAAAAAATTTCAATTCTTTTTTGGAGAAACATTGACAAAAGTTTTAAGTGCTTGAAAAAATTCGTCTCGAAATCACATTCCTAGAAGGCGTGGTAAAAAAAACAATTCCAGTGCTTCAAAATGCTTTTCAAAATAGCATTTTCACCATGTGCTTGCCGCGGCCATGGCGGGGGCTGAAAGAATGACCGGCGCAGGTCGGCACAACCCTAACATGAGGAGGGCCTGCGTCGTCGTCGCCTGCGTGGCCTTGGCGACGATGGCCTCGTTCTCCTCAACGGCGGCAACCTCGAGGGCGAACTCGGCGGCAACCCTCTTGGCCGATTCTTGGTCGAGTCACTCGAGCTCCGCCACCGAGAGCTCCAACCTCGGCTTCTTTTACTTCGTCGCGGGATGCGGAGGTGGCAGCCGGGACGGCAGCTGCGGGTTGCTTCGGTGCGCCGACCATGGAGGAGGCAGGGGCAAGAGAGGCGGGACGGCTTTTGGGAAAGAAGGGGGAAATGTGAGCATTGTGTCCTCAACGAGAGGGCCGGGAAGGACAAGGGTGTCCATCCCGCCCGTCCGCGTTGTGTCCGTTTTGACGCAAACGCGACCTAAGACTGGGCTGGAAATGGGTTGACAACAGACAAAAAATGAACTCTGGTCCGTTTGCATCCGCGGGTTGAGGTGTGATTTATGTCGGTTTCGATTCCAAACGGACGCGGCCGGACAAGATGGGATCGCGCGTTGGATTTGCATAGTGGCATCTGCAGCCAGATATGTCAAATATGGCCCTTCAAACGCTCGCGTACGCGCCTGGGCGTGTCCGCGGGCAGTGACCGGGCAAGCATCAAATTTCACTTGCTGCATCCGAACATCTCATACCAGATTCTTAAATCCATACAAATACATGCAAACAAAATAACATACGTACTACGTCGATCACCTATCTACTCATCGTGAGAGATGTCGACGATCTTTGTGCCTAGCTCCGGCAAGTTTGGCGCCAGCTGCAGCTCTGATTCCTCCGGCGCTGATAACCCACAAGTGTAGGGGATCGCAACAGCTTTCGAGGGTGAAGTACAACCCAAATTTATTGATTCGACACAAGGGGAGCCAAAGAATATTCTTGAGTATTAGCAGTTGAGTTGTCAATTCAACCACACCTGGATAACTTAGTATCTGCAGCAAAGTATTTAGTAGCAAAGGTGGTATGATAATAAAGGTAACGGTAGCGACAGTGAAGATAAATGTTTTTGGGTTTTTGTATTAGTTGTAGCAGTAGCAACGGAAAAGTAAATAAGCGAAGAACAATATGTGAAAAGCTCGTAGGCAATGGATCAGTGATGGATAATTATGTCGGATGCGATTCCTCATGCAATAGTTATAACATAGGGTGATATAGAACTAGCTCCAATTCATCAATGTAATGTAGGCATGTATTCCGTAAATAGTCATACGTGCTTATGGAAAAGAACTTGCATGATATCTTTTGTCCTACCCTCCCGTGGCAGCGGGGTCCTAGCGGAAACTAAGGGATATTAAGGCCTCCTTTTAATAGAGAACCGGACCAAAGCATTAACACATAGTAAATACATGAACTCCTCAAACTACGGTCATCACCGAGAAGTATCCTGATTATTGTCACTTCGGGGTTGTCGGATCATAACACATAATAGGTGACTATAGACTTGCAAGATAGGATCAATAACACACATATATTCATGAAAACATAATAGGTTCAGATCTGGAATCATGGCACTCGGGCCCTAGTGACAAGCATTAAGCAGAGCAAAATCATAGCAACATCAATCTCAGAACATAGTGGATGCTAGGGATCAAACCCTAACAAAACTAACTTGATTACATGGTAAATCTCATCCAACCCATCACCGTTCAGCAAGCCTACGATGGAATTACTCACGCACGGCGGTGAGCACCATGAAATTGGTGATGGAGGATGGTTGATGATGACAACGGCGACGAATCCCCCTCTCCGAAGCCCCGAACGGACTCCAGATCAGCCTTCCCGAGAGATATTAGGGCTTGGCGGCGGCTCCGTGTTGTGAAACGCGATGAAACTTTCTCCTTGATTTTTTTCTCCCCGAGATGGTATATATGGAGTTGGAGTTGAGGTCGGAGGAGGTCCAGGGGCCCACGAGATAGGAGGGTGCGCCCTAGGGGGGGCCCCCTGTCTCGTGGACAGCCCGTGGGCCCCTGTCCTTGATTCTTTCACCAAAAATTCTTATTAATTCTGAAAAGTGTCTCCGTGGATTTCCAGGACATTCCAAGAACTTTTATTTTCTACACATAAAACAACATCATGACAATTTTGCTGAAAACATCGCCAGTCCGGGTTAGTTTCATTCAAATCATGCAAGTTAGAGTCCAAAACAAGGGCAAAAGTGTTTGGAAAAGTAGATACGTTGGAGACGTATCAACTCCCCCAAGCTTAAACATTTGCTTGTCCTCAAGAAATTCAGTTGATAAACTGAAAGCGATAAAGAAAAACTTTTACAAACTCCATTTTCTCTTGTTGTTGTAAACATGAAAAGCCAGCATTCAAGTTTCAGCAAATATTACAAACTAACCATACTCACAATAACACATAGGTCTCACAATTACTCATATCAATAGCATAATCGGATAGCGAGTCATAATAATAAAACTCGGATGACAACACTTTCTCAAAATAATCATAACATGATATAACAAAAATGGTATCTCGCTAGCCCTTTCTGAGACCGCAAAACATAAATGCAGAGAACCTTTAAAGATCAAGGACTGACTAAACATTGTAATTCATGGTAAAAGAGATCCAGTCAAGTCATACCCAATATAAACCAATAATAATGAATGCAAATGATAGTGTGCTCTCCAGCGGGTGCTTTTAATAAGAAGGATGATGACTCAACATAAAAAGTAAATAGATAGGCCCTTCGCAGAGGGAAGCAGGGATTTGTAGAGGTGCCAGAGCTCGATTTTAAAATAGAGATTGAATAACATTTTGAGCGGCATACTTTCGCTGTCAACGCAACAACTATGAGATGGTTGTATCTTCCATACTATATGCATTATAGGCAGTTCCCAAACAGAATGGTAAAGGTTTATACTCCCCCAACCACCAACAAGCATCAATACATGGCTTGCTCGAAACAATGAGTGCCTCCAACATACAACAACCCTGGGGGAGTTTTGTTTAATTATTTTGATTTGCTTTGATCTTTTTGGATCATGGGACTGGGCATCCCGGTTACCGGCTCTTTCTCGTGAATGAGGAGCGGAGTCCACTCCTCTGAGAATAACCCACCTAGCATGGAAGATATAGGCAGCCCTAGTTGTCACATGAGCTGCTCGAGCATACAAAACAGAATTTCATTTGAAGGTCTAGAGTTTGGCACATACAAATTTACTTGGAACGGCAGGTAAATACCACATATAGGAAGGTATGGTGGACTCATATGGAACAACTTTGGGGTTTAAGGAGTTTGGATGCACAAGCAGTATTCCCGCTTAGTACAGGTGAAGGCTAGCAAAAGACTGGGAAGCGACCAACTGAGAGAGCGACAACAGTCGTAAGCATGCATTAAAATTAATTCACACCGAGTACAAGCATGAGTAGGATATAATCCACCATGAACATAAATATTGTGAAGGCTATGTTGATTTGATTCAACTACATGCGCGAACATGTGCCAAGTCGAGTCACTTAATACATTCAAAGGAGGATATCATCCCATCATACCACATCATAATCATTCTAATAGCATGTTGGCACGCAAGGTAAACCATTATAACTCATAGCTAATCAAGCATGGCACAAGTAACTACAATCTATAAATGTCATTGCAAATATGTTTACTTAATAATAGCTGACTCAGGAACGATGAACTCACCATATTTACAAAAACAAGAGAGGTCGAGTTCATACCAGTTTTTCTCATCCCAATAAGTCCATCATATATCGTCATTATTGCCTTTCACTTGCACAACCGAACGATGTGTATAATAATGAGAGTGCATGTTTAAAGGATCGATATAGTTGACTAGAGGGGGGTGAATAGGCAACTAACAATTTTTAAGCTTTTCTTTACCAAATTAAACTTTGCAACAAAATAGGTTGTCTAGATATGCAACTATGTGAGCAACCTATATGATGCAATAACAACTAGCACATAAGCAAGCAAGGGATACAACACAAGTATGCTTGCAAAAGTAAAGGCACGAAATAACCAAGAGTGGAGTCGATGAAGACGAGGATG